AAAAAAAAAAAAAAAAAAAAAAAAAAATTAAAATGAGCAGTCCATTTCCTTTATTCCAAGTTATTTCTTTAAAAATTTGGGGGTATGTTTTAGGCATTTTGAGAATTCTGTTGTTTACTTATATTTAAAGTCACACAGAAACCAATGTTGTGGAAGATAAACCTTTGTATAGATAAACACTGAGAAAATATGCCTGGATTATAATATCTGAGATAACTTGTGTTTTTTTATTCTCCGAACACAAGTTGCCACAAATCAGACTACTCTGGTTCCTTCTCAGTTAGTTCTGTGGAGCCATGTTTTGGTAATGTCTTCCATCCGTGATATTATAATACACAGTCTATTTTAATTTTAGTTTTTACAAGATGCTAACCACTCTTCACATGTTAGTGTCATCTAAAAATATAGAACCACAGCATTTTAGATCTGGAAAGATCCTCGGAGTTGTTTATGTTGACAGTGTTCCCCACTTTTGAAGGACTGGGGAATACTATACTTCATGGTGCAGCTTCCCCAAGTTCTCTGTTTTGTCTTAAAAATATGATTAAAAGTTAGCACCTAGTGATAGCACAGAGCAGTATTAAATCATTAATAATTATTCATTATATATAAGCTCCAGAAAAAGCCAATACCAGTTGATATGCAGTGGTTCCAAAGAGTAAGAAGAATAGAAATCAAAGACAGACACTTTGATGGCAGGTGGCATCCTTTAGAGATCCTTTCTACTGCTCCTACACACACACCCACACAGTGACCAGTTGACAGAGCTTCTCTTTGAGTGTTTAACTTCCCTCTCTAAAATAAAACTGAGGACTTCCCTGGTTGGTGCAGTGGTTAAGAATCCGCCTGCCAATGCAGGGGACATGGGTTTGATCCCTGGTCCGGGAAGATCCCACATGCCGCAGAGCAGCTAAACCCATGCGCCCCAACTACTGAGCCTGTGCTCTGGAGCCACGAGCCACAACTACTGAGCCCATGTCCCACCACTACTGAAGCCCGTGCTTCTCAACAAGAGAAGCCACTGCAATGAGAAGCCCGTGCACCGCAACGAAGAGTAGCCCCCGCTTGCCGCAACTAGAGAGAAAAGCCTGTGCGCAGCAGCAAAGACCCAACGCAGCCAATAAATAAATAAATAAATAAATTTATTAAATAAAATAAAATAAAACTGAGGTATTAAAAAAATGAGCAAGGTTAAAAGTAGGAGTCATTACAAATATAGCACATGCTTGCACACATGCACGAACACAAACTCAAGCACTTATAGTTTGGTCACACTGCCACATGTTAAAGAGCTTATTTTGGCTTAGAATCAAGGTCATGTTACATTATAAAGTTTAATTCTAAAGGAAAGAATTTTTTCTTTCTTTTCATTTGGCTTGTGGGATTACAATACATTGTATAGAGCTAATCTTAGCCAAGGATTACCACAATCATAAAGCTAATTCCTTTCTCTGACATTAGTCTCAGTTGATTTATACAAGAATTATTGAACGTTAGCCAAAATTGGACCAGCCTTCAGTGACTTCGCTAAATTTTATTTCCTGTTTGATTTGAAATATCAAAATTTGATATTTTCCAAATTCATTGACTAGAATATGCATATTTATGATAAGTTCTTCATAATATCTGATTGTTTATTATTCAGGACTTTGGGATCTCTCCAATAGTTTAAATTAATATTTTGATTCTTTCATATCACCACTGAATTTTTTCATTTATTGTATTTAAAGGATCATCTTCGTTTTCTTCTATAAGAAACTATTCTTCACTTTTCTTTTTTCCTTTTCTAATTTTTTGGTAGTTTCTCCATTTTTTATCATTCCTTTACAGAGGATTTCTATAAATTAATCCTCTAGGATACAGTCTTTCTTAGAACACAGTTAGGTGAACATATCAGTGTTTTTTTATTTTGTTTTGTTTGTTTTTCTTTTTTGCGGTACACGGGTCTGTCACTGTTGTGGCCTCTCCTGTTGCGGAGCACAGGCTCCGGCTCTGCAGGCTCAGTGGCCATGGCTCACGGGCCCAGCCGCTCCGCGGCATGTGGGATCTTCCCGGACCGGGGCACGAACCCGTGTCCCCTGCATCGGCAGGCGGACTCTCAACCACTGTGCCACCAGGGAAGACTGCATATCAGTGTTTAATTAAATAAATTGTCTTCTTTCATTAGTTCTTATTATAACTGTTTCTTTATTATATACTTTAGTAAAGCTAACCCCAGCTCCAGTCTCTGATCTCTGGCCTTTCAGTGACATCTATCCTAAATTTTATTTCTATATCTAATAAAGGGATTGTTTCAGTTATCTTCTGGTGCATAACAAACTACCCCAACATTTAGTGGTTTAAAAGAATCATTTTATAATTTCTCATAATTCTGAGGATTTATCTAGGGCTCAGCTGGATGGTTCTTCAGCTGGTCTCTTTCAGAGCCTCTCATGAAGCTTCAGTCTATGGCACATGGGGCTGGAATGTCCACAGTGGCTTCATTCTGGCCCCTTGGTTGGAAGACTGGGCTCAGCTGGGACACTGGGACAGCTGAACCTCTCCCTCTTCACATGGCCTCTTGACATGGTTTCTCCAGCATAGTAGCCCACTTTTTACGTGGCAGCTCAGGGCTTTCAAAAGGACAAAAGTGGAAGCTCGTAGGCCTTGTTAAGGCTCAGTCCCAGTATCAATTTTGTTGGTTAAATAGGGCCGTGAGGTCAGCCCCTGTTCAGTTTGGAAGGAAATACACAGAGCATGAGTACTGGAAGGTGTGGCTCATTGGGGGCCATATCTGGAGACCAGCTACCACATGTTAGGTCTTCCTTTCTCTCTATTAAGACCTCAATTCTTCTCTACTCCTTTTTCAGTTTCCTGTGTCTCTGGTGGTCTGCCTAAACCTACAAATATAACCTTCTTATCTATAAACATGAAGAATATCCTACAGTGGAACCCACCACAGGGCCTACAAGGAGTGGAAGTTACTTATTCTGTGCAGTATTTCATGTAAGTTGGTTCTTTTCATCTTGGCTAATTTATAAGCACAAGGCTCAAACTCCTATTAATTGTACAAAGATAAACCATCTATTGTATTAAATGAGTGAGGAAAAAGAAAGGTTTTAGATATTTCATGTTAAATTATCTCATTGTGTTTTGTTAGATTAAATTAGACAACAGTTTCTTCATGGAAACAGAGTATTGAGTACTTAGGCAAGAAGAAGTTATTTAAATGGAGAAAAGAAGTCTGTCGAAACGTTATTCTGTGGCTGAGCAAACAAGGAAATCCATCACCTCTGAAACATCTATACTTATTAGAATTATAGGACATTTTTAAGTGAAACTGAGTGCAGAATTCTGTACAACTCACAGTTTTTATTAAAGATAATAGTGAATGGACATTTTCACTTTTCACCTCTCACTCAACACTCATTGCAATCAAGAAGGAATGCAAAATGGTAAGTGGGTGTGTGATAGATCCTCACTCCTATACCCACTCACCTAATATTTAATAAAGAGCTGGCTCCATTCAAAGAGTAATTGTCCCAAAGAATCCAGCACACCTATCCCTAATTACTGAAAGGGAGAAAGACAAAAAGAACACAAGTCAAACATTCCAGAAAGCTTTCTCATGGAAATTAAAGAAAAATTCAGACAAATAATGGTTCATAGTTTGAATCCATAAACAACATGTTCTCTAATGGTAAACCTCAAAGAAGGGATAACAGTCAAAGAAGAGATTCTAAGACAAGAAGAACTGTTTTTAAAAGCACGGTGGCAGAACTTAGGAAGAAGATGGAAAATAAAAATGTTATATAGAGATGAAAAACCTATTATAGCTAACAGGTAGTAATAACTGAACAGGTAATAATGACTATCTGGAATTGCATGTCGTAAATGCATGCTCTGTCTAGGAAAATTTAATAAAAATAATAGGAAGACATATCTTGGTAAAGTTATTTAACTTTGAAGAAAATGAAATGATTTATGACCGTCACAGCAAAAGCAATGATTTCTCTCTGGCAACACTCAGTTCATGACAGTGATGTATCTTCTGAGGGAAAAATACGTGTGACCTAAGACTCTTACCAAGTTCAGCAAATGTATTTTCTGTATTTTCAAGCAGGTTGAACTTGGGCTATCACTCCCCTGAGACCTTCTTGCAGGCTGTGGTGGGGAGGGAACACTAACTAAAGATGATATCCAACTGACAGAGGGATAAAGATGAGCCTAAACGAACTTAGAAATGACAAGATTTTGGCAAAAAGGGAGCAGGCATTGAAACTATCTAAATGTAGAACTAAGACTAGTGATGGGAAATATGGTTACAGAACTTTCTTGTAAATGTTTGAACCTTATCAATAATATAACAAATCAGAAGGTGGGGAAAACTGTATATGTACTAACTTCCGTAGCATGAAGCCATTATATGTGATCCAAAATGAAAATATGTCATCATTTTAATAACTAAACTCTCAATATCTTTCATACACAATTTTCTTAATTTAAAAGATCTTTTTAAGAATTAATATCTCATGTGGTGATGAAACATTTGAACTGCAGTGATTCATTTCATTTTAATTTCTTTTTCTTCAAAGTTTGAATCAAGTTAAATTTACTACTTTTATTAAAATCATAAGTATGGCATAACCTAGCTTTTGTCTATGTATTCAGCTATTGAATCATTCCTCTGGGTACATATAAGCATAATGAGATGTGCAGAATCATGTGTACCAAATGTTTCAGGGTAATGGGCTTCAGGGTAATTTATTTCTCTCTCGGTTATACTTTTCTGATTGCGTGAGTTTAAAAACTACCATATTTACAAAAAAGAATAACATCATTTTTGTCTTTGAAAAGAAAATTCTGAGGCGATATGGGGATATATGTATATGTATAGATGATTCACTTTGTTATACTGCAGAAACTAACACACCATTGTAAAGCAATTATACTCCAATAAAGATGTTAAAAAAAAAAGAAAAGAAAATTCTGACCATTAAAGGCAGTGAAGACTTTGGCTGCTACTCACAATGACCTCATTTATCTAGAACTTCATTCTCATTGCCGAAGAATTTCTCAGGAACCAGTATTTTAGGGAAGAGGCATCACTGCCAGGAGAAACGGCTCATGAGTGTGTCCTTGTCTCCTTTTTCATTAGGTGGAGCAAGGAGCTTGTTCTGTTCTTTATGTGTTTATGTGATTCAGAAAAGGATTTAAAAAGAGAGAGAGAGTAATCACTGCTCTGTGAGAGTAGATAATTTAGATTACATAAATTTCAAAAAGGAATATTTGAAAAGAAACTTGCCATGGTGGAGTTCTTACATGCCTGTGAATGTGGACAATGGGCAGGAATACAGGGCAGCTTGTGTCACTGACAGGGCTCCAGGCTCAGTTCCAAAGACAAACAGTCCTGGGGTCATAACCAGACTGTGAACCTAAATGGGTAGCCTTGGGCCGGTTACATATTATACTTTTTTACGTTTGAGTGAAGTTTGTTTCTAAGCAAAAAATGAAATTTTAACAAAAGTTTAAATTCTATCTACCCAAAGAATTTAATGCCGAAAATAGAGTGTAGCATTAAAAGCACTAACTTTAGCATCAGGGAAAAGTGATTCAAATCCCAGATATGCCTATTATACTAGTCAGACTACCTTGAGCAGCTCCCTTAATATCACTGAGCCTCAATTTCCTCATCTGTAAAATGGGATGAAAATAATGGTACCTACCGCCTAAGGTTATTATGATAATTAAATGAGATAAAGCTTTCAAATCCTAAGCAGCAGTCCAAGCGCATAATAGGCACCTGATAAATATTTCCTGCCATTACCAGAAATCAGAGACCACTGAGGGCCCCGCATGACTTTTTGACATGCATGAACATCATTACTGTAGCATTTATTGAATGATTCATGTCGATCAGCTTGTCAGACTTACAAAGCATTTTGTCCAGAATTCAGTAAAGAGCGTTTCTCCTTCATTGACATCTGTCATGGGAAGCTGCCTTGCCCTTGGCAAAGTCAGGAAATTTGAGGAGAAAAGGTCAAATAGGGGATGGCAATATTTTTCAAACCACAAGTCAAGACCTGTTGGTGGGCCATGAAGTCAATTTTGAGGGACATAACTAGCATCTTTTTTTTTTTTTTTTTTTTTTTTTTTGCGGTACGTGGGCCTCTCACTGTTGTGGCCTCTCCCGTTGCGGAGCACAGGCTCCGGACGCGCAGGCTCAGCGGCCATGGCTCACGGGCCCAGCCGCTCTGCAGCACGTGGGATCCTCCCGGACCGGGGCACAAACCCGCGTCCCCTGCATCGGCAGGCGGACTCCCAACCACTGTGCCACCAGGGAAGCCCTAGCATCTTTTTTTTAACGGGAAGGATTAGAATGGTGTGGAGTGGATTAGAATGGAAAATAACAAGTGTCTGGCATGTTGTAAAGTTTAGGTATTATCTTCCAAAACCTTTGTTTTAATATGTTGTATATATGTGTGAACTGGGTCACACTGTGAAATGTATTTCTTTCTATGGCTCACAGTCAATAAAAAGTTTGAAAGCCCCTCGGCATGGTGATTACTTGAATGGAGAAATTGGTCAACAAGATCTAACTATATTTCTAATGTTTTCTGGTAGCTATGGTACTTATGAAACAGGAGACATTTACTTTCAGAACTCTGCTGCCATATTTTGAAAAGAGAAGATACCCTTAAGCTTTGGCAACACTTGATAAAGTTGACATTTCCTCCTTCTCAACACAGTCTTCCCTTGACTTTAGTGATGTCTGTTTTTCCTTCTCCCTCTTTAGCTGCTATTTCTAAGTGTACTTTGTATCTCACCTTTATTTTTTTAATAAATTCATTTATTTATTATTTTTGGCTGCGTTGGGTCTTCGTTGCTGCACGCGGGCTCTTCTCTAGTTGCGGTGAGCGGGGGCTACTGTTCGTTGTGGTGCGCGGGCTTCTCATCGCGGTGGCTCCTCTTGTTGCGGAGCATGGGCTCTAGGCACGTGGGCTTCAGTAGTTGTGGTACACGGACACAGTAGTTGTGGCTCGCGGGCTCTAGAGCACAGGCTCAGTAGTTGTGACGCACGGGCTTAATTGCTCCGCAGCATGTGGGATCTTCCTGGACCAGGGATCGAACCCATGTCCCCTGCATTGGCAGGCGGACTCTCAACCACTGCACCACCAGGGCAGTCCCTGTATCTCACTTTTAAATCTTGCTGCTCCTGAAATTTTATCCTAGGCTTTGCTTTGTCTCCATGGGTAATTTCATTCATGCCTGTGCCTTCCATGAGCAGCTTTTATGCCATAGATTTCAATCCCCTGCATGGCGGACTCTCAACCACTGCACCACCAGGGCAGTCCCTGTATCTCACTTTTAAATCTTGCTGCTCCTGAAATTTTATCCTAGGCTTTGCTTTGTCTCCATGGGTAATTTCATTCATGCCTGTGCCTTCCATGAGCAGCTTTTATGCCATAGATTTCAAAGTCCCTACCTCCCACTCACCCCTTTCTCCTGAGCTCCAGCGCCTTCTGAGCATCCGCATTCGGATACCTTTTACATATCTTAAGCTCAACATGTCAAAAACTGAGCTCATTATCTTTCCCTCCCCCCTCCTCCCCCCATTTCCCAAACCCACTCTTCTTCCGCATTCCTGATCTTGGTAAATGTTACCACCATTCCACCCAACTAGCCCGGACAGAAAGAGACATCATCCTTAACACCTTCTTTTCTCTCATCTCTCTCATGCACTCAATCACCAAGTCTTGTCTCCTAATATTTTTTCCTTTTGTCCTGTCATTCATTCCACTGCCACCATCCTTGTGCAAGCCACCTACCTCTTCCACCTGGACCACTCTAGCATCCTCTCAGCTGCTCCCCAGTCAGCTGCCCTTGACCCATTACATTCTCTACGCTACCACCAGAGTTAGCTGTCTAAAAGCCCGACACACCTGCTTCAATCCTTTCAGTAGCCTCTCACGCAACCCTGTCTCTTTCACTTGGCTCTTCCCATGTCACTTAAACTCTCAATACCTCAGTCTCTTCCACCTGAGAAATGCTAAAATATTTCCCACCTCCTATTTTCTATTGGGTGTTATGTTTTTAATAAAGGAGAGGAAAAACAGATATGAACAACCTAGTTAATATCATCATCATCACTATGATCATTGAAAATGCTGATTTCGGAATGCACTCCAACCTAGTGAATTTTCCCCAGAACCCTTGAGGGCAAGTATATTTTTAAATTTTGTGAGAATGTCAAGAAGAATTTCCAAGGAAAAAATGACTAATTTTTCTTAAAACAATCCATCCAAAAAAAAAAAAAAAAAAAGACGCATCAAACTGACCTTGGTATGCACGTGGGCTAAAAATTTACGTAGAAGAATTGATCGCACAATCTGTAAAATTTTTACTGTAGGCCAAGCCTAATAATAAAATACATGCTTTCAAAATGTACTATCCACATTATAATTCACAGAAAAGAAAGGTGATTATAGAAACTCTGACTCATGTTCCTGACTGCTAATGAAAAAAATTGCCAGCAGCAAAAGTAGATGTTTTTTTATCTCAATGACAAGCACTTTTGTTGTTCTGAAGAGAAGGTCTTAAGTTCCATTCAGTTTTATATAATGACTGTTTTATTTTTTTCCTACTGTAAAGCATAGAGAGCACCTCATTGTTAATTCACAGTTTCCTTCTCAGCAGATATGGGCAAAAGAAATGGCTGAATAAATCCGAATGCAGAGATATCAGTAGGACCTACTGTGATCTCTCTGCTGAAACTTCTGACTACGAACGTCAATATTATGCCAAAGCTAAGGCCATTTGGGGAACGAATTGTTCTAAATGGGCAGAAACTGGACGATTCTATCCTTTTTTAGAAAGTAAGTAACACAGTTGTCTGTTAAACATGTATCAATATCAAGTTCATCTGACCCCCTAATGTAACAGTCTCTGCCTCATAGACAGCCTTGTCCAGGCCAGTGCTCTGCACTCTGTCAATCAGGTGAAGTGACCAGCCCAAGGTACTTCACCTTGCTGCATCTCAGAGTCTCATCTTCAGAATGAAAGTTTTGGCCAAGTGTCTCTAAGATTGCTCCCGGATCCAGAATTGATGCTAGATGCCAATAATTTTTTTTTCTTTTTTTGCGGTACGCGGGCCTCTCACTGTTGTGGCCTCTCCCGTTGCGGAGCACAGGCTCCGGACGCGCAGGCTCAGCAGCCATGGCTCACGGGCCCAGCCGCTCCGCGGCACGTGGGATCTTCCCAGACCGGGTCACGAACCTGTGTCCCCTGCGTTGGCAGGCGGACTCTCAACCACTGCACCACCAGGGAAGCCCTAGATGCCAATATTATCAAATTTTGATTTTGTTTTATTGTTTAGTTGAGATTATATAATTTGAGGAACAACTGACAGATTTATTTTAATGTTGTGGGTTTATAAACTATTTGACATATGCCCGCAGGTTGATTAAAGATTATTCTGATCACCAAACTAAGTCTCTTCTTGTTACAAACTTGGTAGAGTTATTACATAATTTCTAGATGTAGCTCAGAATTAAGGCAACATCTTCCTGGTATTTCCTTTTAAAATTTTTCATCCCTGATCTGTGACTGATTCGGCCATAGAGGACCCACTCAGAGCTGCCATGATGAAATTTACAAGCACTCCCTAAGTTCTGGAGCTGGAGCTTTTCCCTTGCTGCCCTTCTGGATCAGAAGTCAGCAAACTATGGCCTCGGACTAAATGCAGCACCCCCTCCCCTTTCTGTTTTTCTACAAGACAAGAGCTAAGAATGGTTTTTACGTTTATATAAATAACAGTTGCGACAGAGATCACATGGCCTGCAAAGCCTAAAATACTTTACTGTCAGTACCTTTATGGTAGAAGTTTGCTAATCTCTGTTCTAGATCATTCTCCAAAGTTTACTTCCCCAAAGGTCTTTAGCAGCGCTTCATTTCTCCATTTCTGATTTTTACAAACACATCAAATCCTCTTAATGTTATTTATCACCAACGTTTCAGGTCTCAGGAGTGTTGCAAACACTTTTAATTATATTTACCATCATCTAGTACTTTTATCCATGTGACTAGGAACTACATGTGACTAAGTAAATTTGCTGCTTTGACGTTCTGTCAGTGTGTGACATGATTGTTTCAAGATTCGGTATCACTTGGGCCCACCTAGAGCATTCTGAGGCATCTCAGATAAGAGGGTGGGCTTTAGAGCTTTGATCCCAGTAGGATTATATTGTTTCATCCGAGGTGATTTCTACATCTGAACATGATAATTCCCTCTCCCCTCCCCTTTAAGCACAAATTGGCCCACCAGAGGTTGCTTTGACTGCTGATGAGAAATCCATATCTATTGTTCTGACGGCTCCAAAGAAGTGGAAGAAAAACCCAGAAGAAAGCTCTATTTCCCTGGAACAAATATACTCTAATCTGAAGTATAATGTGTCCATACATAATACTAAATCAAATAGAACGGTAAGCCTGAAATGGAATGGGGACCTATAATTTGTGTTGCTTTTTGCAGCTAATGCTGGAACACGCAGCCCTGACGCTTAAATTCCCGGCATGTGAATCTGGGAAGGTGTGACAGTCAAAAGTGTTGCCATACGAGATACAGTTGAAGCTGATGTGTAGAAATTTTCAAAACTGCCTTCAGATTTCCTTTACAGAAAGTCTCTGCTATGATGTTGCTGTTGGTGTGTAAAGCAATTGTCCACCTCACTTTGATGGAGAGTTTTTACTTGCTTAATATCTGTCAGTCACTCTCCAAGAAAGAAAAACATATCAGCAAGAACACAGGACAAAGTGGAAGAAGAAATCCCTCCTTATGCCATTATTCAGAATTGATCCCACAATTTGTCCAGTCCCTCACTGCCAAGCTGAAGGAAAAGGATATTTTAAAGCTGTTGCTAAAAAAAAAAAAAATGCTCTTAGTGATAGTAAAGGACTTCCTGGTACCTCAGTCTTCTGTTTCCTTCTAAAGTTACTTGTCTGGGGTGGTGCTGGAAATCTCTGGCTCTAACTGCTCTTCGCAATCCTCTATCCTAGTGGTCCCAGTGTGTGACAAACCAAACTTTGGTATTCGGCTGGCTGGAGCCGGACACTCTGTACTGCGTCCTCGTGGAGTCCTTCGTCCCAGGCCCTCCTCGCCTTGTTCAGCCGTCTGAGAAGCAGTGTGTCAGTACTTTGAAAGGTAAGCTTTGAGAATCTCAGCTGGTCTGAGGTAGGAAATCTGCTAAACCTAGAAGGAAGGATGGTGGTGTAGACAAGGTTTTGAAAATCCGTGTCTACCAGAAACAGGCTGAAATGCAGGCAGAAACAACCATCCCCAGAAATGCATTGAGCAGCCTGGGACTGTACCATTGAACTTGGCTCACAGCAGGGAGTGTTTTCACCTCCTAGGGCACTCTTAGCACCAGTCCATCAAAACTCTACCTTGGGAAATAAGAATTATAGGAATTTTTACACACACGGTTTTTCTTCTTTAAAACTATAATCACTGTGATCAGTAGAAGTTCTGTGGTCTTTACGAACATCAGATGAGTTTATTCCTAGGCACAAAGCAGTATCCTAAAAACACTTTACGACAGAGTCTTTTGCTCCCCCTCGGGAATACAAATTATAGGCACTGCAGGTTGTGTTCAGAAATCACTCACTGTGCAAGGCTGTGCAAGGGCCTGGGATCAGCAAATCAGTTACTAGTCCCTCACTCTTATAGTTGCTTCTCTCTCTTTCCTTCTATTTGTCTCCTTGTGTTTTCTGAACTTGGCTGCCAAGGAAGCGTGGTTGAAGATTCTCGTTCCTGATAGGAGACTAGAGTTATAGGAACTTGGCGTTTGTTTAATTGTTCTTCCCTGAGGGTGGTTAAGACCCTGAACTCAAAACCTAAAAATTGAAAATAAATACTAAAGTTTACCTTCATTGAATGGCTCTTCATCCATTCTCCGGTTTCTCTCTTCCAAATGTGCTGGCCTTCCAAAAGTCACAATCATTTTCCCCAAGACTTGGTTCCGTCACCAGCTATGGGACAGGAATGGTGACAGAACCCCTGTTTTCCTCTCCCCTCAAGCTTCCCACATTTCGAGATGAAACTGTCCTAAGGATTAAAAAGGGAATTTTGTGAATACATATCAGAAGTGAAAAGCTTTATTTTTGAATCTCCATCATTATCATACCTTTCCCTTTAAAATGAAGGGTTCTCTACCATATGTCAAATATCAATAAAATTAAAATGCAAGGCAAGCAAAAGGCAAAGCAAAGCAGATTGAGGAAATCATTTTTGTATTTGGAAAAGTGCTCTGTTTACTAACAGCTTGATCAGTGGGCAAGTGGTAGGAATGAATTCCCAGTGGAAATCATTTAAGCCATTGGCAGAGCTAAAGCAACTAAAGTACAGATTAAATGAAATACTTCCCAGTAAGCAGATGGAGCCGAGCTTCTCACTAGTCCTGGAAAGGTAATAACAAGGTACCATTTCACGTTCTGACCGTTCTTGATATCCCAGCTGTTAGTGCGCCCCAGATACCTTTGCAAGACACCATTATGAGGGTCTACTTTTTCAAAAACTCACTATTACCTCTTTTGGGACTATTCTTTGAAATATTTCTGCTCTCCACAATCCCCCAATTCCTAAAATACAGATACAGTTTATTAGTTGGTTGTTGCAAACATGTGCTGGTGTATACTAAGTGCCTTCAGTCACTGTTGTCATGGCTCTGTTTATCAGGATGAATTTGGTCCAGAGGCCAGGGATTGTATTAAGAGGACTGGATTGATTGGGATTGACATATACACACTACTATATGTAAAAGAGATAACTAATAAGGACCTACTGTATAGCACAGGGAACTCTACTCAATACCCTATAATGACCTATATGTGAAAAGAATCTAAAAAAGAGTGGATATATGTATAAGTATAACTGATCACTTTGGTGTACACCTGAAACTAATGCAACATTGTAAATCAACTATACTCCAGTAAAAATTAAAAAAAAAAAAAAGGACTGGACTGAGTTGTAGCCTGAAGTAGGGGCAGGTGATGCTCAGCCATCTGCAGCATCTGCATTATTGGCATCTTTCTATGTGGAACCTGTTGACAGATGTGCTTTTTGGGATGGAAGAGCCTGCAATTGGACCCCCATACCTGGGCTTTTCCCACTGGCTACTGTTGACCAGAAGTCCATGATGCTTCTGTTTCTACTCTTTAACTAGACAGTTAACCAGACAGTAACTTAGCTGCTCTCTCCCAGGACTAGGCATCAAGAGCACCCAACATCTACAATGGGTTAGAATACTCCCACGACACTCCTGCTGATTGTATTAGTATGTAAGGAATGCCCTAGAACTTTTGTCATTTGTGCTAAATGCTGTAGTAGTCAGGGTTCTCCATAGAACACAATATACATAATCTTTATATGTAAATGTATACACACACACACACACACACACACACACACACACACACACACGCACACACACACACACACACACACACGCACACACACACACACACACACACACGCACACACACACACACACACACACACGCACACACACACACACACACACACACGCACACACACACACACACACACACACGCACACACACACACACACACACACACGCACACACACACACACACACACACACGCACACACACACACACACACACACACGCACACACACACACACACACACACACGCACACACACACACACACACACACACGCACACACACACACACACACACACACGCACACACACACACACACACACACACGCACACACACACACACACACACACACACACACACACACACATCAAGATGGAGATAGAGACTTATTTTAAGGACCTGGCTCACATGATTTTGGAGGTTGGTACGTTAAAAGTCTGCAAGGCTGCAGACCTAAGGAAGAATTTATGTTGCAGTTCTTATCTGAAGGTGATCAGCTGGCAGAATTCGCTCTTCTGGGACATGACCAGTATTTTTTCTATCAAAGCCTTCAACTGATTGGATGAGGCTCACCCTCATTATAGAGGGTAATCTGCTTTACTCATGTCTACTAATGTAAATGCTAATCTCATCTAAAAAATGCATTCACAGAAACATCTAGAATAATGTTGGACCAAATAACTGGGTACTGTGGCCTAGCCAGATCAACACATAAATTTAACCTTCACAATTTACAAGTACTCCACAAGAGCTTAACAAATATAAATTAGTCACAATGAGTCATATCTATCAAGCATATAGTCTGATCCATGGTGATCCAGGGCTACTTTTCTTAAAACTACTCACCAGATCTTTTCATCCCTCTGTGGACTTCTAAACTCATCATGAACCTACAGCACAGCAGGACCAGGGAGGGAGTTACTGCCATTCTCAGCACACACCAGCTCAGCTGCCTTTCCACACATCCCCAAGCTCCAGACCTACCAGAAAGCCTGGCCAGCTGTGTAAGGATGGTTCTGTTTGTCACACAGAAGATGACGCCATACATTCGTGGCAAGGTCCTGAATATGTGGAAAAGATTGAGTCGAATGACGGGCATGGAAACGTGGGGCAGCTTCATGGGATCTTCACAAGAAGGTTTTGTTGTTTGGTTTGAAGCACTGTGAGTTACTTGAGTATCAGGCACACTTTCCTGCAAATAGAAGAACCAGCATGAATCTCATAGCCAGATATAAAATGTTGGAATATCTGCTGACTTGGGTTGTTAAGGCACCCTTGCTGTAAAGGTTGGAGACAAGTCCAGATGATTCCTTATGCCCATCTATGGTCAGAGAGAGTAAGAATTCTGAGATCCCTTCTAACATTTAGCTCAAGCTTCTCAATTTATAAATGAGAAAACTGAATTCCTAAAAGTAACTGATCTCTCTAAAGTTTCTTGACGTTACCAGTGTTTTCCCACCACACCAAATCACAACTGTCTACCCCACCCTACTTTTCTTTTTACAGATCAAACGTCAACACTGAAGGTTAAAATCATCTTCTGCTATGTTTTGCCCATATCTGTTACTGTGTTTATTTTTTCTGTGATGTGCTACTCCATGTACAGATATACCCATGTCAGCAAAGAGAAACACCCAGCAAATCTGGTGAGTGCCTAGAGTGGCAGGAGGCTTTATAACACCCCCAGGAAGATAGAAAAGGAGGTTCTAGAACAGATACCATTCCTTTTATGGGCAGAGTGAGTTTCAAGTTAAAGAGTTGATGAATTAAAAACACTTTCTGTACTAGACTAACTCAGTAACATAACCAAAGAGAAAGATTCCTTAACTTTGACAAAGATTTTATATTTATGGAACAGATAAGACTAGGTCTTGAGGTACACAGATAAATTGTCATGACCCATGCCCCTCCGGAGGCTTAAGTCTAGTTGGGGACTAGAAGTTTTAAAGGATATGTGAAGACTAAGATGAAAGTGGGTTCTAGGGACTCTTGCGGGTACAGGAAGGGCGCTGGCACCCTACGCGGAGGATCAGAAGTCTCATGCCTGGGCTTGGTCATGAAAATTCAGTAAGAGTTGGGGCACTTACCTCAAGCGGAAGAAACAGAAGGGGCAAAGGTAGGAGGATGTTTGGGAAAACATATAATATAGCAAAACCGTGAGGTTCCTGATGAGAAGCTATGAAAGAAGAGACTGGAGGGTGAGGGGGTAAGGCCAAGTAATGGGAGAATTGGGGAGTTATTCTAAGGACCTTGGGCTTCATTGTGTTTGCAAAACTCTGTAGGGTTTTGAGTTGGGATCATTATGGTCAAGACTGAGTTTTAGATACAACTGGATAGTGTTCAAGACAACTTTAGGGGGAGGAAGACTAGAAACAAACAAACAAACAAACAAACCCAGCTAGGAGACTGTGGGAGTTGTCCAGGAGAGAGAAGATGAGAGTCTAAAAGAGGAGAGGGGGATGTAGGGCTGGAGACAGACACGGAACGGAAACACGTTTCGGGGGAAAGCGGCCAGGGCTTAATCATTCCCAGCAAGGAGAAGCAAGAAAGTAAAAGAAGGAACAAACCTTATGCTTCTGGACCATGTACTGGAGGTTTCCCAAGGCTGAGCATATTTTAACAATCAAAAACTGTTTCTTTGGGAATTATCAAAATACGTGTTCACATGTACACAATACATACATGCATTCCTGTTAGTTCTGTTTTTAAATGTTTCTATTATTCTGCCTTCATTTAGGTTTCAGAGTTAGCTTTTTAATGACATAGGGAGACCTTTCCTAGGAGGAAAAGGCACAGGAGAACTGACAGCCTGTGACTTTTTGAAACCCAAATTTTTGTAAAAGAAAGATGCTGAAGTTCCTATTTTGTAGTTAAATGAAATCACATCATAGGGTGGAACACGAGAATTGTAACGTAACTCATCATTGACAATCTAAACAGGCACCTTCCATGTATTGCCAGCAAAACTTTCATCTTAAACAAGTTTTCCTGACATGATTTAGAGTTTCTCTCTCTGCTATAAATTGGCAGATGAATTTCCGTTTTGGGCCCTATTATAGCATGATTAGTTTGGTGTATGGGGGAAGTAAGTAAAACCATCTCTATTCATGTGCTTATTTCTCTTTTTACACCTAGTTTTCATGCCCTTCCACATTTCCTGTCCAGAGTATATGCAAAAAAGATCTGGTAGCCCAGAGGATGGCTTTTGATAAACACATAGTAAACTATAATTAATAAAGCAATTTCAAAAACTCTCAGTCTTCACCACTCCTGACACAGCAGAAATTCTGATTTTACAGAATTTAAAAAAGGAGGCTCAAGAAATTGAATAAGCCCCCTGAATTCCCTCAGCCAGTTAGAGGAAGAGGCGGTCACACCCGATCCTTGGACTGGATCAGGACCACCCAGGGAACCACTTTTCACTGCCGTAGGCATTCCGTGCATCTTGGGTCTCTTGCCTCAAGGTGAGGGAGTTTTCCTGCATATTCCAAACATAACTTTCACTTCCATGAATTGGTAAGAATAGGCCTTTACAACTATCTGGGGACAGTATAAATTCTAACTAACAGCTGGGTTTTTTTGTTTGTTAGTTTTTTTAATATCTTTATTGGAGCACAATTGCCCTACAATGGTGTGTCGGTTTCTGCTTTATAACAAAGTGAATCAGCTATACATATACATATATCCCCATATCTCCTCCCTCTTGTGTCTCCCTCCCACCCTCCCTATCCCACCCCTCTAGGTTGTCACAAAGCACGGAGCTGATCTCCCTGTGCTATGTGGCTGCTTCCCACTAGCTATCTGTTTTACATTTGGTAGTGTATATATATACATGTCACTCTCTCACTGCGTCCCAGCTTACCCTTCCCCCTCCCCATGTCCTCAAGTCCATTCTCTACATCTGCGTCTTTATTCCTATCCTGCCCCTAGGTTCTTCAGAACCTTTTTTTTTTTTTAGATTCCATATATGTGTGTTAGCATACGGTATTTGTTTTTCTCTTTCTGACTTACTTCACTCTGTATGACAGACTCTAGGTCCATCCACCTCACTACAAATAACTCAATTTCGTTTCTTTTTATGGCTGAGTGATATTCCATTTTATATATGTGCCACAGCTTCTTTATCCATTCATCTGTCGATGGACACTTAGGTTGCTTCTATGTCCTGGCTATTGTAAATAGAGCTGCAGTGAACATTGTGGTAGATGACTCTTTTTGAATTATGGTTTTCTCTGGGTATATGCCCAGTAGTGGGATTGCTGGATCATATGGTAATTCTATTTTTAGTTTTTGAAGGAACCTCCATACTGTTCTCCACAGTGGCTGTATCAATTTACATTCCCACCAACAGTACAAGAGGGTTCCCTTTTCTCCACACCCTCTCCAACATTTATCGTTTGTAGATTTTTTGATGATGGCCATTCTGACTGGTGTGAGGTGATACCTCATTGTAGTTTTGATTTGCATTTCTCTAATGATTAGTGATGTAACAGCTGTTTTTAATGTCTCTCTAAAGTGAAAAGGTGAAAACCATTCTCTTCTCTCTTTATAGATTTTGATTTATGGAAATGAATTTGACAAAAGAGTCTTTGTACCTGCTGAAAAAGTTGTGATTAACTTTATCACCCTCAATATTTTGGAGGATTCTAAAACTTCTCATAAGGATATAAGTGTAATGGAAAAAAGCAATGATGCATCAGACCTGAATGAGCCCAGCAAGGACCAGGAGCCCCATCAGGAGGAAGTGGAGGTGGAACACCTGGGATATGCTTCACATGTGGTGGACATTGTGTATGACCCTGAGAAAAGCACCAAAGGGACTTCCTTAAGCCAGCAAGAGCCACCCAGCAGGACAATGCCCACAGATAAAACAGTCATCGAATATGAATGTGACGTAAGAACTAGTGACATTTCTGTGGGGCCTGGAGATGAGGAGTTCAATTTGCAGGAGGAAGTGTCCCTACAAGGAAAGTTATCTGAGCAACAGGCAACTTTAGCAGACTTGGGTCCACAAACACTACCATGTTCATATACCCCTCAGCTCAGAGACTTGGACCACCTGCTGCAGGGGCGTGTGGACACAGAGGAGGGGCCAGAGGCAGAACCATCAACCACACTGGTCGATTGGGACCCTCAGACTGGCAGGCTGTGTATACCTTCATTATCCAGCTTTGAACATGACTCAGAGAGATGTAAGCATCCTGAGTCTGAGAGACTCAAGGAAGAGGGCCTCTTATCTAGACTCTACCAGGATCAGGGTCCAGACAAGACACTGGAGGAACATGAAGCCTATCTCATGCAATTTATGGAGGAATGGGGATTATACGTACAAATGGAAGACTAACACTCAAACGTCCCTTTGCCAGACCTCTACTGTTACAAAACACATGAGTGCAAACAGATAAGTGACTGAACAATAAAGTACTGGAGACAGAAGTTTACTCGGATTTCTGTGTCAGTGAGAATTACTTATTCCTTCTATTTTCATAGCGCTTATTTCATTCCGCCTCCTGTGGGTGGCTGGGTTGTGCGTGTGGGTCTCCCGCACTGATGGTAGGCGCCCAGAGTGCAGTGGCTGACCCTCTTTGTACCCAGTAAGTATTCAAAAATGTTGGCCAACTTGGATGCAGAATTTATTCAGGTGGGTGTACTGTGGCCTCTTTATTTATGACTTTCTAACAAGCACTTGTACAGTTCTTTTCTGGGCCCTTGCCAAGTGTATAGCACTGTAAAAAATACATCATGAAGACCATTCATTGTATAAGTGCTACTTTTTTAGAATTTGGATTATTGCCAGAATGATGAGATACTTAAAACATGCAAATACCACTAAGTGGGTGGGAAGTGGTCACATTTAAAGACCTAACCCACTGTTCAATCATAATAATCCATGTTCAGAGTGAATAAATCAGGCACAGATCTTGATGTCATATGCTTTGGGCTACTTTAAGTGGCCATATTAATACTTTAGGAGAAGTTCTGGAGTGTAAACATAAATTGTTATTAGTTTATAGTCAGAAAATGTCCTCTCGCCTTCCCTGGTGGCACAGTGGTTGGGAATCCACCTGCCAATTCAGGGGGCACAGGTTCGAGCCCTGGTCTGGGAAGATCCCACGTGCCACGGAGCAACTAAGCCCGTGCACCACAATTACTGAGCCTGCGCTCTAGAGCCCACGAGCCACAACTACTGAGCCCACGAGCCACAACTATTGAAGCCTGTGTGCCTAGAGCCTGTGCTCCACAACAAGAGAAGCCACCGCAATGAAAGGCCTGTGCACCACAACCAAGAGTAGCCCCCGCTCGCTGCAGCTAGAGAAAGCCCGCACGCAGCAACAAAAACCCAAGGCAGCCAAAAATAAATAAAATAAATAAATTTATTTAAAAATGTCCTCTCAATAACTAGCAGAGGCTTTTTAGTAGGGAATTAACCTGAAAAATAAATGCCACATTTTAGGGCTTCCCTGGTGGCACAGTGGTTGAGAGTCCGCCTGCCGATGCAGGGGACACGGGTTCGTGCCCCGGTCTGGGCGGCTGGGCCCGTGAGCCATGGCCGCTGAACCTGCGGGTCCGGAGCCTGCGGGTCTGGAGCCTGTGCTCCGCAATGGGAGAGGCCACAGCGGTGAGGGGCCCGTGTACAGCAAAAAAAGAAAAAAAAAATGCCACATTTTATAATAGAACAGTACATTTATTTCTGGATATGTGTTTTTCAAAAGATATTTAGATAGTCTATAAACTAGAACAGTTTTAGTAGCTGAATCACTGTTACTATTATAATATTAAAAATTCTATTTGAATGAGCAGTGCCTTAGAGATTCCTTGGAATATGTGTGAATGAATATCCCATATCTATATAATCTTAAAATCAATAAATAAAGACATACAAAAGAAATGAGTTTATATGTAAGGGAGAGTGTATTTGACATAATTTACTGTGGGAATGAAAGTATATCATAAAACAATATCACCCTAGTTAAATTCCAGTAACCATTCCCATCTCCTTCATCATTTGCTTAGAAAATTAAATTCAGTAGTCACATTGTATTAAAATATGACAGAATCTGTTAAGTTGAGCCATATAAAATTGTTGATATTTGACTGTTTTTGACCTGCAGAGACAGCAATTTCGTATGATTTACCTTAGCATATGTTTGCTTTAATCATGAGCTCATGATCCATTGATGCTCTTTCAGGAAAACAGATATCATCCGTATTTTCTTATTTATATTCTTGGCACAGACAGACAACCCTGGTAAGAGAGATGGATTCTGAAGTCATGGTCTTTTCAGGTTGTCCACAAATCCAAACAGCTTCTGATCTAGTGATTTAATTTAGAGCATAATTCTATTAACCAGAGTGTTCTGTTCTTCTCAATCTTTGTAAAAATGATTCTGCTAATTTTGAAGAACAAATTTATTATTAAATAAATATGTAAGAGAGAGTGTATTAAAAGTTTGACATAATTTACTGTGGGAACTAACGTATATCATAAAACAATACTACCCTAGCTAATTTCCACTAACTATTCCCATCTCCTTCACCACTTGCTTCAAAACAGCCAGTTTTGAAGAACAAATTTATTATTACTATAAAGGAAATTCAGGAGTGGGAAAGAATGAGTTTCTGTTAAGAGCAAAAAGAAAATAAAATGATTGATGATTGTTTGGCTTATTCATTTCATTCACAAAATACCTACTGAGCATCTACTATGTCCTACAGTGTCCTCGTTGTAGGGAGGATAACAACAACCTTAGGGTTACTTTGAGGATGAAAAAGCGTTAGAGCATAGAAGGCATTTAGAACGGTGCCTGGCATATAGCGAGTGTCAGGTGTGTGTTATCGTTATTAACTGCCAGAGTATGTGCTTAACACCAGGAAAAGAAGCCATTTAGACATATGACTATTTTGATTCAAAGGCAGAGTTTGCCTCTCTTTGTTTCTCTTACCGAAAAGTACAAGAGTAATTTGCTTCCTACTTTATGCCTTCAGATTGAAATCCATCTGTGGTTTTGTAAAAGGGAATCTAATTGAGTTGCTTTCACATCTCTTATCATTCTAAGCATATCAGAAGTATTGAGCCTTTGTAAAATTTTGTTTCTTTAGTACTTTGCAACGTACATAATGCACGCAGATATATATATATATATATATATGTATATTCAAATGTGAGTGTACAGTAGGTATGTCTTGTGGGGGAAAGTGACACAGTCTTTGATGCAATCTACCTTTATGAGCAACAATCATCGTGCTTCCTGTCACCTCTGTGGCCAGAGCCTCAGCAGCTCCGAGAAGTCATCCTCTGGGGCCTCATTAGATTCCATCCCTAGGCCTGAGGTCCCAGTGGAGCTGGGAAGTTGAGGTTTCAGAATCTTTGACCAGCATCAGTTTTAGGATTTTACATACCTCTTCCACATTGGGTGATTTTTCTACATGAAAATGTCTGCTAGTGGCTCTATGTCCATACCCCATAAATTCTAAACAACTGTGTGAATAAAAATACCCCCTACTACAAAGTGAATGAAACCTAGTGCCACATCCTGCACATGGGAAGAAAGTAGAAGAGGGACATTTGTCCCCTCAGCCTACAACATGGGGAAGATCGGGTGCCCCCAGGCTGAGTTCACCTCAAAGGAAATCAGTGCAGGGAAAAACTATTTGTACAGCCCAGAGTGCAAGTCAGCGCAGCATGGTAAATCTAATGAGAACATCAAATAGAGGGCTGCACCAGTATGGATCAGTGCACCTGGGTCATAAATCAAATTCTTTCCGGCCCACACACTGCCATCCCACATCTTGAGATGAATTTTTGCTAAATTACCTTGGAAAGAACTTTTTCTATTTCCTTTGTGGTTCCCAAATTATATCTTCCATAAATCTTCTATCCACGGTTTTTCAAAGACTTTGCTCAAGAACATGTGCCTATAATTTTTTAAATAAATAATGCAATAGATTAGAAGTTTGGGATTAACAGATACACACTACTATATATAAAATAGATAATCAACAAGGACCTACTATATAGCACAGGGAACTCTACTCAATATTCTCTAATAACCTATACGGGGTAAGAATCTGAAAAAGAAATAATATGTATATGTATACGTTGTGTTGGTGCCGGTTGAAGGAGTCTCCTTCTGTCCTCAGGCAAGGCTGCCTCTTCATGGGTTTCCCTAAAACCCTGTCTCTGGCACTTTGCTAAATTTGGAAACAGACGAGGTATTTTCTCCCTTACTTCCTCAACAGATTTCTTTTTGACATCTCAATCTGTCGTTCTCTAGATTAAGTGGTATTTGGAGGCTTCCCACCAATTCAGACGATGGACATATGGCTTGTGTTTGTGTTTTCATGCCCAGGCCACTGAGACAATGAACACTGCTGGGGATAGCTACCATCTGCCATTTGCCTGTCCCTGGATCTGACTTCTGTGGGACGTATGAATTAGCCACTGCTTTTAGAGGTCTCATAGAGTTAAGATAGTTTACATATTATTCTTCCTTCTCCTCAAGTGCATTCTTCCCGAATCTGAAATGCAGACGCTTCAGAACATTTGATGTGAGAGGGGAAAAATATCAGTGGGAATTTTAATCCCAACCCCCCCGAAAAAGGGGGCATGGGATATTGGATCTTCATTAAATTTGTCAACTTTGTGCTTTTAAAAGAATTTGGCAGCATTTGACTAACAAAGGGATATATGGACTGTCTAGTGAAAAAAATTGCACAACCTAAAAGGTGAGAATTATATTTTATTCGGCAGACCTTCTGAGGACTGAAGCCCAGGAGGCAGCCTCTCACATAACTCTGATAGACTGTTCCGAAGAGGTAAGAGAAGAGCCAGGCTATATAAGAGTTTTTGCAAAAAAAAATCAGTCATAGAATATTGAGCAGTTCCCTGTGCTATGCAGTAATTCTCTATTGGTTATCTAGTTTAAATATAGCAATGTGTACATGTCAATCCCAAACTCCTGATCTATCCCAATCTATTGAACACTGCTCAATGTTCTGTAATAACCTAAATGGGCAAAGAATTTGAAAAAGAATAGATACATGTATATGTGTAACTGAATCACTGTTGTACACCTGAAACTCACACAACATTGTTATTCAACTATGCTCCGATATAAAATAAAAATAAAAAAATAAAAAAAAACACCATCAATCAGAACATCAAAAGACTACTGCTAATTAAAGAAAACCAGACATATCAAGTTAATGAATTTAGTGCTTTTCCATGTCTGGGAAGATGCAAGAGTCTGGGCTCATTGAAATCATTCCTTTGATATGCACTTTAACTATCTATGGCCAATGTCCTGCTTCTCTCCATCCTGAAACACCTCAGCGTGCACCGTCAGGATATGGCAGGCGACATTTTTCATCCACATTACCTTAGGCAATTTATTTAACCTTTTGGCACCAACTTCCCTCATCTATGAAATAAGGATAATAATTG